ACACACACACACACACACACACACACACACACACACACACACACACACACACACACAAAGGCCTGCTCTGCACTGAAATAAAGAAAAGGGTACCTTCACAGTAAGATCCTATCCAGAGAAGCTTACAACCTGAGAAACAGCCTGAGCCACTTTGTGGTTCTAGTAAGGAACTGAGTGAAAGAGCTGCTAATGTGATTCCATATAGTCAGGATCCATTCCAAGTGACTCTGGATATTCAAGATGGCAGTGCAGTCAATGCATTGCTAGCTTTAGAGGCACAATGATGCAAGAGTGAAGGAACTCTAGATTCTTCCCCCGTGGTTTCAGAGAGCCTGAGGAGCCAGACAAAATGTGGCCCTCCCTGCAAGAAGGCCCTGAGAGGGCATGAAGCTGTGAAAGTGAAACCAGGGCTGTATTGGAGACCTCAAGACATCGGAGGTGCCAGAGACATGGGTCTCTTAAAGCTGTGTAAGGGGAGCAGAAGCAGACCCAGAATGCAATGCAGTTTGTATGGAGCAAAGCTGGAGTGGTGGTGCCATCGATGGCCTTTGACATCAGATACAGATCTTGCAGGATTTGGAGTTTGCCATGCTGGGTTTCAGTCTGCTTTGGTATAGTAATTCAACATGCCCCACTCCTTTTTAGAATGGAAATGTATGTTCTGTGACACATGTTAAGTATGTAATTTGCCTGTAATTTTACAGGAGCTTACAATTAAAAAGTACATAGTGATTCTCAGGAGAGGTTAGACTTGTAGACAGTAGAGAGACTATGAGAGACTACGGGAACATATGAAGTAGGACTAAATGTATTTCGCATTGTGATTTGGAGGACAGGGATTAGAATGTGGTGGTTTAAATGAGGAATGTCCCCCACAGGCGTGGGTGTCTGTAAACCTGGTCTCCAGAGCCCTGTTTGAGAAGTTTTAGGAGGAACATGCAAGGCTGCAGGAAGTATGCCACTGGAGACAAGTTTAAGAGTTCAAGGACATTCATATTTCCAGTTTCTCCTTCATGCTTACAATAAAAAATACTTAACTTCCTACTTTGGCTACCATGCTGTCTCTACAATTAGGGATTCATCCTTTGAACCTATAAGCCAAAATACACTACAAAAAATATATACATCTTTTTGAGAAA